AGCAGAAGAAAGCATTCCTGCTCATGTTAGGGAGGAAATGAGTAATACTGTATGGAAACGACGACTCTTTAGTAATTAAAGAGACATTTTTTGATAATTTTTAACATGGAAGAAAGGCCACAAACAGGGCCGTGCCTCGGCGTGCACAAGGCTTTCGTGGCGCTGGGAGCCGTTCAGCCGTAGGGGTGCGAGAGCTGGCGAAGAGCGGCTGTAGCGTGGGGAGATAAAAGCCGGAGCTGGTGTTTTGAGGGGCTCCCCGCAAGGAAAGCGGTGTTGGGGACACGCCACGTCCGTGACTGCCACCCCCACGGCACCCTCGGTTGTGCCTGGTTTCTCACGACGGGTTTTCTGGTGGCTTTTCTCGTGGCTGCCGGACCTTTCTGCTTCTGAACGTGCCGCGCTCCGGTGTACTGGTCAGTCTGGTCTGAACCCTACACATGCCAGGGGTCCCTCCGTGGCAGCCCAAGCTCTATCTTTCAGTTAGTCTGTGTCGGGGACTTAGTACTGCACACGAATATCTCTGTTTTCTCTCTGTTTATTTTAATAAATTTCTTCGTGTAGCTTCGGTTCCTGAAAGGCACTTGCGGGTGCCTTTTTCATTTAGGTTTGATGTTGAGATGGATTGAACGATGGAAAGGAAATGCATTTCTTTGCAGGAAAGCAGTATTGCCTGAAGTAGACAGTGTATATTTACTCGTAGAGGTAGAGATGAAAAGTTGTTAGATCTCCAGTCTTATTTAAAGCAATTCTTTAGGGGTGACTCGGTTCTGCAAAAAGCGCTAACAATTGAGCAGTTGCCTGAATGACCTGCTGCACAATAATATTTGTCATTTGCTGACATTGGCACAATGGCGTGATATTAATAATGAGCTTTTTTTCCCCTCTGTGCTGGGGATCCAGTTAGATCCTCTTTATTTGCTTGCTTTCTCAGAATATTGCAGATCTTCGTATAAACAATCCGTGAGTCCAAAAGGTCTGATTCAAAGCCCAGGGTTCATGTGCAAGTAAGTGGCGCTTGCTCCTCCGACACCCAGCTAGAGCTTGCAGTCCGTGGGACAGTCAAAGGCTGTTTGCAGGTTTTAGTATTGCCATTTAGTGAGAGATGTGTGGGTCGGTGCTTTCTTCTTGTCCACTCTGTTGCGGGTTGGTTTTGCTTACCAACAAATGTACTCCAGCAAAAACCATAATGAAAAACAGCTCTAAAGTTGTTTTCTGCAAGTACAGCTTACTCCAGGTCTAGGAGAAAAACAAGCTGTATTGGTAAAAGCACCTTTGGCGATGCAGTGGCCGTGGCACCCACAGGACGAAGGAGCAGAGAGCTTTAGAGCAGACAGGCTCTTGGTGTACACTGAGAAGGATGGGGCAATCTTCACAAACCAAAGAGCCTGAAGTTCAGTTTTGGCTGGTTTTGCTATTGTTTTCTTTTTATTCCCCTGTTTACAGGAACAGGGTGTGAGCTGGGACCTGGAAATAGGTGTGCCAGAATACCCTGCGAGTGGGAGAGGGGGGGGTTGAGTCATTTGCTGCATGTAGGGGTTGAGGATGTGCGCTGCAACAAACCTCCTGGTTTTTGCAAATTCCTGCATAGTTCAGGCAGAAAAGCCTCTGGGGAGCAAGTGCTCGATTTCAGGACTGGAATTCCCAAATGGAGATGACCTTGAATTTGAAAATACCTCTTTCAGGCCTGGAGTGTCTTCCCTGGCTCAAGAAGCCCTCCGAAGATGAGCTGTGCAAGGAGGTTTTCTTTGTTCTGGAAATCCATGGGAGAGGTGCCTATACTTGCAGAAGGATTTTTCCCTTTTTTTCTTTCTTCTTTTTTTTTTTTTTTGCTGATGAATCTTGAAATTGCCTTTCCTCCCTCTTCTGTTTGTGAAGGCTGCGAAGGTTTTCTCCTCAGCTCATTGTTTGTGCTTCTTGCAAGCTAAATCACAAGCTGTCTGTGTATGCGTGTACGAATTGGTTCCTGTCCAAGCAGTGGGAGTCATTAAGGGAAAGGGCGTTTAGCATTTAGGTTTCTGTTTAGTGACACAGAGACAACATCAAAGTTGACAGAGCCCCAAATTTGCCCCCGATATACTCCTTCCCTGTCTATGATGCAAATAGGTTTTTGTAGCTGTGGTGGAAAAGGAAGAGGGTTACGATCCTCCCTTCCCAAGCGCTCATCCTTCCACTTGGAGGGAGGTTGGACATAAGGTCCTTTTGTTCACGTTGCCTTCTTGTTTGTGGGAGGCCAGTGCCTCGGATGCTGGAAGATTTACAGCCCCAGCACCTCTGCTTTCTTCCTGACGCTGCCAACCTACGCAACGTGGTCCGTTCTCAGCATCGCACGGGGCTGGCTCCAGCTGAGGCGCAGCATCCCGGGATAAGAAGTATTTAGATGGGAGCCTTGAGTGATAAGGGGACGAGAGGAGGTTTGGGGAGGTGCGTAGCTCCTGTTTTCAGGGTGGTTTTTGAGGGTTACGCACCCCTGGGCGGACACTGCTGTCACACTGACCGGGATATTCGCAGAACTGGTGTGTGCTCGCGGCTATGGGTACGTGCCTACAAGAGCTCTCGTCCCGCTGTTTTACCAGAGATAATTCCTTAGGTTTTTTCCCACTATGTTCTGGCTAGTAATATTGTGCTGGTTTTATTGCCATTAGGCATTCAGTGGAAACATTATGTGTGGCCTTTGGCAGCTTTGCGTTTTCCCTGAGCTCCATTAAGCTCCATTAGGGGCATTCGTTCCGATGCCAGTAGCGGTTTTGTGGCACAGTTAAGTGCTGGCCCTACAGGCAGTGGATTTATGAAAGGGTGTCACTCCTGTGATGTCAGGAATATAAGGCTTGGAAACGCTGGGATTCCTGTTTACCATCTGTTTCCATTGCCCTTCCCTAATAGACCTCTCCTCCTCCAGAATTCAAGGATCTTTAATCAAAGCTGTTTGGCTTGTGGTGGGAGGGAGGAAATCCCAAATTGTGGAGGAGATGGTGACATTTCTTGACCTTTTCTGTGTGTATCTCGGAGACAAACACACTCTAATGAGTGTGCGTGTGCTTATGTTTGTAGGTTTAGTCTTTGGGTGTATTTCCTAACACAGGCACTCGGCGAGACGCTAGGTTACGCATTTCTCTGCAGCAATCGAGATAAACTTGCAGACCCTTTCGGGGGGGGACAGTGTGTTAGCTAATCTGATCCACAGACAGCTGTCTACAAGAAACTAGCTTACTAAATGTTTCCAGATACGCTCCTCTTGAGAACCCACATTTCACTTTGCTTGGAAAACTTCAGTGTTGCGGTTTTGAGTCTTTTGGTTCAGCGCGGTGCCGCAGACCTGTCCGCCTATGCAGGAACTCTTACAACATCAGCCTTTACTCTGAAGGGAGTTTTGAGTGTGCAGCCTGTTCTCTTGTAGCTGGTGCTGCCCAGACACACTCGATAAGCTAGCTTTGTTATCATACAGTGGTAGTTGTGGCTCATCTTCTCCTCTTTGCTCACAAAAAATATTACAGCAGTCCCATGCAGAAATATCTGCTGGAGCATGAGCTAAAACTGAGCAATACTTTCAGAATCGAGTGACTCTCAGTTTGGGGTGCTCTTTGGGTGACTTGTGAGATTACTCAAAAGAGCCTGGCATTTAGAAAGTGGATTTCCAGTGGCTTCTGAAAAATTGAGCGATAAAACTGGTGCCACGTGGGAAATCATCGGTCTAGTATGCATATTGAGTACACATTAAAGCCTGGGGAAACACCAGTTCCTGCAAATCCATCAAGAAAAGTTGGTCAAGGCTGATAGCATCAGAAGTGAGGTAAGTAGGTGGTTTGGTGACACTTAAAATACAAAGATTACATTAAAGTAGCGCACAATATGACGAAACATTTTTCCCCTTAGGGTGAGCTGTCTCTCTTTCCCTCTTCTACTAAGTCCTGTTACACATGTGCACCAACTGCACTGTTTTTCCTTGCCAGCAGCGTGCAAAGCAGCCTTTTCCTTCGCTGCTGCTTCCCTGGCTATGCACTGGTCCCAGCACTGGACACAGCAGTTGTGCGGTTGGGGACATTTGCTTTTGCGCCCTTGGGAAAGGTGGCTGTGGCACCACAGTTTGAGCTATGACTAATTAGAGTTAAAAAGCAGCTGCTTCATCTTAAGTTGAAGAGTCCGAGCTGGCGTTAGCTGAGGCCGGAGCAGACTTGTTATTTTCCGTGGACGGGGCAAAGAGGGAGATCGTGGAACACGCACTTGCCGTTGTGTTTGCACCAGCGCGTAAGAAATCCTCGCACAGCGTAAGGGCTCATCGCTGCCGCAGCGTATTGCAGACCAGAGCGTGCCTTTCCTTCCCGGACAGAGTCTCAAAGGAAAGCCTTTCCTCTCTCCAGCTCTGAGCATCCCCTCTTCGTAACAAACTCGAAATGGGAGAGACCGAAGGCCTGAGCCTTGTGTTCTTGCTGGGGAGAACAAGAGGTTTAGTGCCCTTGATGTTGGAGTTTTTTCTGGGGTTTGTGTCGTGAGGCGTGCTGGGAAACCCTTAAAGAAATGCCTTAAGTGCCCTTAGGGATGCAGGTCTTGTCTTGGTCCCAGTTCATTTGCCAGCAACACGACAACTGGTAGGTGCTGGGTGGGAAGCAGCCGGCCAGGATCAGACCTGGAGCCAGAAAAGTCAAAAAAACTATTTTCTCAGGCAGTGGTTTCCTCCAGAGAGGGACTCTCCTGTCTGTGCTGCAGAAAGCATGTAGGGCTCTTGCTTTTGCCTGATCCGAGGAAGAGGGGGACAAAGTCCTTTGGGAAAGAGACCTCTCTTGATGGATGTCCGAGAAGACTTTCTCCACGGTAACATCTGAACGGATGGGGTCCCTGTTTCTGCGATGTGGTGGGGAGGAAGGCGGGTGAGCTGCTACACGGGATCGGGGCTCTGCCTGCCTCGCAGGTAGGAAGATAGTGTCTGCCCCTTGGGCAGCAGGGAAGGCAGTCGGGGCAGGCTCGGGTTAATTATTGTTTCATGTGTCGCATTTTGCACTTTGCAGGTGGTTTCATCCCAACATCAGCGGAATTGAGGCAGAGAAGCTGCTCCTGACCAGGGGTGTCCATGGCAGCTTTCTGGCTCGACCCAGTAAGAGCAACCCAGGAGATTTCACTCTCTCCGTCAGGTAAGCAGACGGCAGCAGAGGAGGAGGAGGAGGAGGAGATGAAGGGGCTGTCTCGAACTCCTCCAGCACACCCTGCTCCGATTAATGGATGTGCAAGGGGAGAGGTGCTCTGTGGTACCTCTCTGTGGGTACCACTTGAAGTAAAAGGGTCGCTGAACTCTCCCCATCGCTGCAGAGGCTGTGCTAAAAGCCACACGCTGCTTCGCCCTCAGTTTGTTCATCCCTGTGGGTTGTACGTGCCCCTGTCCTGCCAGGGTTGGCTCTGTGCTTGTGGCCTGTGCTTCCAGCACCGTTGTTGCCAGAGGAGGGAAGATAACAAGCCCACTTATTTTCTGCAGAGAGTATGTTCACTCCCAGCAGGAGTGGATTATCTCACTCCAATTTCAAAGGAACTTAATGTATCTGCCTTTGAGAGAGACTTGTTTTCCGTGTCTATAAGGGATCCCTGTAGCACCTCCATAAGAGACTAAGCTCACTGACCAGCCTGACAGTGGCTGTGTTCCCAGACAGTATCATGAGCATCACCTTTAAAATCCTCTTGTGTTCTTTGGGACCAAGGCAATTGCAGAAAGGAAAGCTGCAGTTTTGCCGATGGTCTTTGTGAATGTAGCCCCTTACGATGCGGTGGAGCAGATGCGCTGGGTAGGACTCTCTGAAGGTGAATTACAGGGAAGAGGCAAAGAGTCACATTAACCCAACGAGTCCCTGAGATAAAAGGAGCGGGTTGTGGGTTCGAGGCATGAACCTTCCGTGAGCACTACCCAGCTGATGCCTCGCAGGGAAATAGCTCAGCAAAGGTTTCTCCAGGCACTTGCAACACAGACCTCTTTTTTGTGGTGGCTTCTGTTTAATTTAAAACCCCTCATTTTGTTTAGGAAACTCCAGTGAGTTTCTAAATCCTTTGACCGATGCTGTGTTTAGAGAAACTTTGTGCAAAGGACAGAACGGACAGAGCGTTTCCACCTGGCAGGGCAATGATATCTAAGAGAATGTGAGCAACAGCAGCACAGTTTGAGCTTCGGTCCCTCCCCGTGCGCCTCTCCCCCCACAGCCTGGGTCTGCGGGGGCTGCTGGCAGCTCAGAGCAGCATGGCAATGCCAAACCGCTCCGGTGAGACTTTATCCTCTCCTTGTTGCCTTAACGGCTCAGATGAAACTTTTTTCTCAGCCTTATTTCTTCCCTCCTTGCAATTGTCACCAGGCTCGAACCTGCACTCCTCTCTGCCAAGCGCAGTGATTCCTCAGCTTGGCAAAAGGGAGGGTTTGCAGCTGCCTTATTTTTATTTTTTTTTTTGAATGGTTCCTTTTGTGCTGGGGAATATATCCCAGCGGTCCGACCCTTTGCCTCTCAGATGGCTCCGACCGACCGCAGCTTCTCACGCTATGGAGCAACACAGCGGAGGGGAAAAAGTCCGGCTTTTCCCATGCGTTGGCTGGGTGGGGAGTGTTTGGATCTGACTTCACTAGCTCCCCAGTAATCTTGCAATCAGAAGTGGCTGCGAGTTAATGAGAGAGGCAGGAAGTGCTTCTAATTAGAATGGAAAATAAACTCAGTCACAGATTGCTGCCTTGAGCAAGCTATGACGGCAAGGGAATACGTGTAAAATGGGGGGGTTATCTTCATGTGAGCTTAGTGTCTCTTTTCATGTAATTTTGTGAGTCAGGGTGTTGTCTGATTGTAAAGTGAAGCACTGACAGCACCTGCTTAGCCAGGCAGCGTGCAAGCAGATGCAGGTTATGGCTGTGCAACAGAGTCCTGATGCGGAAAGATACCCAGCTAGCAGTATAATTACCCTGAAATAGCAGGGTAAATTGCTTTGCCGGGAGAGCCAGTTCCCACACCTGCATTACTGCACTCACGCCTCGTGCTGTGGAGTCAGTCCACAGGTTTGCGTGGTTTTCTTCCCTCAGCTCTGTCTCTGTGCCTCAGCCGAAGGCCACGTGTGTTTCTGCTGTTGTGGTTTGTTGCCTTCCACCTGTGCTGGTCCACTGCCTCCCCTCTTCCAGCTGTGGCACGTGTTGAAAGCGAGTGGATAAAAACTTGGCCTCCCGTGGAACAGCTACGGCTGCCTGTGGAGTCCCAGAGCAGCTTTATTATTGCTGTTATTTCTTTACCTCTTTCTGCTTTCTACTGCAGGGAGACCTTTGTGTTGCAGTAAATGTTTGATAAGAGTATTGTTTTGGCCATAAGATCCAGCCAATTAATGCTCTTAATGCATGAACGGTGCCCTGCAGTAACAAGATGCAAGTTAAGAGCAGAGCAATACAGCGTGCCTTAATATCATAGTATTGAACAATACCACCACAACCCACTGACAGACTATAACTCAGTGGAAAGTCTGACCAACTCTCACAGTTCTGAGTAAACCAAAGCTGTGACATATACCATGTTTCCAGGAAAGCACATTAAACGTGACACACAAGCTTAGAGGCAACGTGTTGAGCTTTGAGGCATCACGAACTGAAGACAAGGAAAGAATTCTTTTATTGACTACTTTTACCTGCAAGTCCTTGCTCCTTCCTGGCTCGTCCCATCTCTGTCCCATGACTTGAGGCAAGGGTTGTCCTGTAATCTCAGATGTGGAAAATTTGCTTGGACACGGTCACTGGTTAGATAGACTAGATTTGCTTATACTTCATCTAAGTGATATGCTCTTTTCCCACTCGTGATGGCCCCAAAACATGTGCATAAATGCTCTTGGGAATTAGAGCTGCAACACCTAATAGAGTACAGAATGAGTAGCTTTGTGTGCTGTGAAAGCTGAAAACTTGGGCAGCTGTCTATCCCCTGTGTTCTTCCCCTTTCCCTGCTACATTGCTCCATCTGTGTGTGTGTAATGTGTTATTATTCTCACCTAGAATTGTATCCTGACAGAGCTTTTTTTTTTTTTTTCTTAAATCTCAGAACTGGACAGGTCTTTATATTTTTTTTCCTTTCTGAGAAATAGAAGGTTTTCAAAGGAAACAATAGAGATATCTTTGAAGGAGTACCTAAGATAGAGGTGTCAGTAGGAGAAAGTACCTTCAGAAAAACAATCAAAACATCTTCCTCCTTCTTTCAACCCCCTTTCAGCTTCTTCAAGGATTTTTGAAAGCCAGTGAGGGGAAATGCAGCTCCTTTTAATTCCAGAGAGGATGTGGGCTGAAAAGAAAGCAGGCGATAGAGTTTTGGCTGACCAGACCACACACCAAGTGACCGTGTGCTGGTGCGTATCCAGATATGCGTCCCTGAAGAGAGGCTAGGAAATAACATTGCAGAAGTTATGAGAAGGTTTCCATGAAACTCTGTGGCTGCTTTCACTTTCTTTCTTTCTTTACCTCTGTGCGCTCTTTCAGCCTTTACCATTACAGCAAGAAGTCTTCGCAGGGCTTTTTTTTTTTTTCCAGCTCTTAAGAGAAAAAGGCAAGCCACATGGAGAGGCCATGATACAGTTAACAAACAGATGATGTTTGTCCTGGTCTTAATAGAAAAAAACCTCTTCAAAAAATCCTCAGCTCTGAGTCCAAACTTCTGGCAGTTTGTAATCGGCCAAACCTGGCTCCTTTCATCAGCCCTTCCTTTTCCGAAACACGCTTCTTCTTGGGACATCTCTGCAGATAAGTTCAAGAGCTTGTTCCACGCCGAGGATCGGACACACCTGCTATAGTCCAGTGCCGAGAGGGCTGTGTTTCTGAGAAGTCTTTATCTGGTGTGCCGGTGGTACGTCAGTACTAGATACTGAATTGGGATTCATTGGCTTATCTTATTCTTTGGGCACTCCAGCGAATATGTGGAGGGAGGGAGGTGGTCTGGCAACTTCAGCTGAAGTGTGATGATGACAAAGATTCTGAATTCATTCTGAATAAGGCTGTAGTAATATCTGCTGCATCTCTATGTGAGCTGTCTTGTTTTGTCCCATGCAGTTGCTGCAACGCTGCTCTCTGCAGGTGTTTCAGTGCTGCCTCAACCCAGGCAATCAGACAGCTCTGTATCGGTGGGTCACTTAACGTGGGTGATATTTCTCATTGCAGGGTTTGGCTCCTGCAGGTGTTTGCTAAAGGTAATGACAGCACTCCAACGCTTTATGCTTTCTTTAGAGTGGCTCACAAAACCTGCACTGAGTGGGACTGTTTGGAGGAATAGCTCAGCTTCGGAGCCTGGAAGGGGCTCTGAACTGGAGCTGGCCTCGCAGGAGAGCTGTGGAAGCTGTTCTGGATGGTGGGAGCAGAGCCTGCTATTAGGGGATTTTTGGAGGATGCAAGTAGAGTTCATTTGCATGTTGCAGTTCTGATGAGTGGCTCTTAAAAAAGCTTCCTTGCCTTTCTTGTATGCTGTGTCACCTCTCATTTCCTAGAAGGACTTGGTACTGGGTTTGCTTTTGATATTGAGTCTTCCAACTTTTAATCGTGATTCTTAACAAAATAGACCTCCTTTTGAAAGTGAGGGGTCTTGAGGGAGAACTGCAGGAGGCCACAGAGGAAATGCCCCATGTTTCCAGCCTTCAGTGCTTGCCTGAATCTGCCAGAGCGTGTTTTCAGAAGACCAAGTATTTAGAATCGCTTCTGAAGAAAGTGAACAGCTTCTTAAAGATTTGGCCGGGTCTGGGTAAATAGCTTGAACAAAAGGAAAAGGCATGTTGAAAGTTTGCCTAAGTGGTGCTTGGCCTGTGGCCACAACAGTAATGGAAATGCCAAGACAGTTAAGAACCATCCGTCAGAGACCTTGTTAGTTTGGTAACTGGGTCACGTTTTATGGGAATGGATCTTACCCTCGTTCATGGGATACAGTACTAAGTGCTTCTGGGTAACAAACTCTTGTTAGGGCTATGGTCTCCCATAGTGGTTTCCTGATTAACACTTACATTGAGCATTATTCCTGTATGTAACTGGACTTTTTTTTTTTTTTTTTTTACACAAAACATGTACAAATACACTCTGGCTACAGGTTAAGACATGCAATCAAGAAGGATTTTATGTCCTATAGAATAGGTACTCTGCGAAAAGGAGTAAATCAATACTGCAGGTGTGTTAAATTGGTTGAGTTGCTGCCTGCGGACAATACAGTTGCAGCGCAGGAAGAAAGCTGGATCTGGAGAAGAACGGAAAGAAGCTTGAAAGAGGTGCTTTTCTAAAACAGTTGTCCTTGTGTCTCATCATAATAGCACCTACCAGCCCTATTAAGGCCCTGTAATCCAGGGCTACCTCTCACAAATATTCAGTGAGAGGTGGGCCTGATTCTGCTTCTTCCAATGGAGGGCAGCCAACTAAGGGAAGTACTGTCTTCGTGTTACAGCTGGGAAACAAATGTTGGGCCCAGAGTCACCTTGAGAGCCTCTGAGAAGGTCCTGAACATCAGATCATCAAATCTTAGCTAAGTGCTTTTATCACGAGACCCTTCTTCCCTTAAGAAAGCATGTTCTCCTCTGATGACAACGTCTTTCTTTTGTCCTGGAGTGGCTTGAATTCGTTTGGAAGCAGATCGTTCGGTTAGAGATGTAATATTAACGGATGGCTACCTTCGGCTTACTTGTGTTCGTTTGCTGCTATTTACAAGTTTGGCAAGGCAGAGGAGTGTGTCGAAAGCCTCCTTTTGATGGCAGATGGTTGGCAAATGGTCTGTGCTTCGCATCTCTTCCCAGGGCAAAAGGCTGGATCTCTCTGGAGTGGGAAGCACCTTCAGGAATGCAAAAAACATAAATGTCCTATAGGTAAACGGTGCCGACGTGCGAGTTCGCTGAGTAGTTGGATGTCCTTGGTCCCTGTGTGCTTTCTGGAGCTCCTAACACCTTAAGTGAGCAGTAGGGCTCAAGCAGCAGCTGAATTGCTTCTTCCTAGGAGTTGAGCATGAGGAATTTGAAACCCACACCTAATCTCTAGAATGCACTTGGCTGTGTCTGTGAAATGACATGCAAATGTCAGTTGGTTCTGTTGTGCTGTATTGGTGGATAGTGAGTGTTCTCTGAGAGCCCAAGCTCTCATTTAGTTGAAAGCAAATATTCAGTGAAGTTTCTAAACCCTGTGGGAGTATCTTCTTGGTTTGTTTTTTTTTTTTTTCCATAGAGAGTCTTTAGGGTGGGGGGTTGGATTGCTTTTTGCAGCTTGTCAGAGAGGTCATACAGGCATGCTGTGAAGTTCTAGGCTTTCTCTGTCTGACACAGGCAGGAAAACCACATGACCAGAAAAGACTTTTGGGGATGCAACACTCAGAAATGGTTCTTTTGCCTTCAGTGACAACAAAGGGTCTGTTTGGGTTTTTTTGCGAGTCCTCTTCTTATTGACTGTGCTCTGTTGCGAAGAAGAGCAGACTGCATCCGCGCTGGTGGTCACTGCAGTATGGACACAGATTCACAAGCTGGAATATTTTGGATCAAGAAACCCTGCTGGATATCTATCTAAGGAGTTGTGCTGATGATAGGGTGAAGAAGCTTAGCTCGGAACGGAGGCAACTCTCACTTATCCGAGTGCTGACCCCGAAACTGCCAAAAAAGCTGGCATCTGCTATTAAACAGTGCTGCATCCCTGTATGAGAGCTGTGTGTCTGTTGGTCAGAAGTAGCCGTGCCCTCCAGCACAGGGCAGCTGAGTATTCTGGGCATCTCCTTTGTGCTTTATTTCACCAGCCAGCACGTCGAGGGCCCAGTCTAATGGATGCTGCTACTGTGCAGTCCAGTTCTGCTGCCCAGTTTGGAGCTGCAAGAGGTGACGCAAGCTTTAAGAGAAGAAAATGGGAAGGAAATGGGAATCGATCAATGCCCTTTGTGTTTAGCATGACCTTGAGGGCTCATGGGATAAATGACGTTGATTATCTCTCTGCTTTTCATCCCTGAAGTGCTCGAAGGCCTTGGGGGTGGGGAGTGGGTCTGTGAACTGAGCCTTTGTAGGTCACTGGGGTTGGGATGTGGGGACGGAGCTGTGGAAAGAAGGGAGTTTTTGAGCCTCAGGCCAAGTGGCAAAAACACAGTTTCGTCTGCTGCCTTCTGTGCCGCACAAAGGCTCTTCACGTCCAGCTGCTGGCATGAACGGCAGAAGCTTTTTATGTGCCAGCTCCGCTCGGAGAAGAGGCATTGTCATCGGAGCGCTGGCTGGGATCTGAATTTCGCAGCCAGTTTTCATTTCCACCGAGCGAGTTCTGCTCCTACCCTAGATGCAAATATTGCCAAACTTTGAAGTCTCTGCCCATAGGACAGCTGGAGTTGGTGTGGCAGGCCAGGTCAGAACTTAGACTTCCCAGATGTACCACGAAGAGTTAACTGGGTCTCTCTAAATACCCAGGAGTGCCACTCACCGGTTTCCTATATTACCGACAGTTGGGTTCTGTCTCCAAGACCTTGTCATGAAGGTGTAGTGTGACTGTGCAGGATCCAGATGCAGATTTTTCTCACCTCAGGCCTGTTTGTCAGTCTTCTGCTGGTTTTGTTTTGCTGTTAATGGGGGATGATGGTAATACTGTGGATGCTGTCTCTGTCCACACTCAGCTGGTTGTTGCCACTGAATTGGCACTAACTGGAAATCACCTCGGTGCCAGACAAAGCATCCAAGAAGGGCTGCGTGAGCACAAACTGGAACTGCTGATTCTACATCGACAAAGTCCTCTTTAGCAACTGGCACGGAGTAAATGGCAATATGGCCATCTGTCAGGAAGGTGTTTTAAGGAGAACCGCATGACGTGTGGTGACTGTGGCTTGAATGTGGCTAAGAGTGTTGCCGTCTAATCATAAGTCATGCTTCTAATAAAGGCAGGTCTGGAGGAGGGGCACACAGTGGCTGTGCTAGCACACTGCTGTGAATGTTTCTGTGGGCTCTTCAAGGCTTAGCACACAGAGAGCTCATTGCCAAGTGCCAGCTTGGCATGGTCTTGTTGCCGAGCTGCTGCTGTGTACTCTAGCACAGCATATTGGACAGTCAGCGTTTAATCTGCTTGCGCACATGACGAGCCCCTCGCGTGCCAAAAGCCGTGGCTGTTAAAATCCCCGAGATATGCGGAAATTGGAAAATCCGTGGCAGTAGTTATGTAAAGGCAGCCGTGCCCCTGGGCAACGTGAGTGCATCCCAGGGGTGGTAGTGACCATCCCGTCACTGGGAGAGGCCGCTGTACTTCTCGTGGCGTTCCGTACGCCCTTCACCAGTCATCCCACAGTCCTGCAGATACACAGCCCCGCGCTCGTGGAATTCGATGTCCTCTGCTGTCAGGCCTTTGGGGAGAGTGAGTTATTGCAAAGTCAGCAGAGTCCTCCCCGGTGGACTTTCATTAGACCTTGCAGTGTATAGTTCAGTGTAGTATTCAAGAGGAGATACAAGGGAAGAGGTTGTTTCTTACCTTCCCCGAGGAGCCAGGCGTCCGTCTTGCATGTGCGAAGCGGGATGGAAAAGCCGCTGGATCCCCTCTGCCGGAGGAGAACGCGGCCACCTTGGTGCTGCTCCAAGCACTTGTCTGGACTAGAGGAATTTGCGCAAAGGTATCCAAACAAAATGACACCACCGCAAGCCCCATGTGGGCTTAACGTGATACCGGGACCCTTAGCGAGTGACAAGCGCAGTGAAATGAGGCTACCACGCACCCTGGTGCGCACATCCAGCCGACACAGCTGGGCTGTGTTCTGCCCCCGCGCCAGAATCCCCTAAGGCAGACAGAGCCTTTTGCATTCGAGGGCCAGATCTTAACTTCTCCCCGAAATAAGGAGGTAGAGTCCAGACTCTGAGGTAGACAGTACCTGCAGCTCAGGAAAACTAAACAGGAGATGATTTTGTGGAGCTGGGGCGAGATATCCGATACCATCCAGGTATCTGGTCTTTCACTGCATTGCTACGGGGGCTGCCCTCTGCTGCAGAAAGATAGCAGAAACGGGGGCAATGCCACTACTGGGAGCCCCAGAGCCCCTGCCGTGGTCCAGTTCTTCCTTCCATTTAACCTCGTGCACAGACCACTGTAGCTTTTCTAATTCCCCACTCCGGGAAATGGCTTTTCTGTCTGACCTGGTAGGCTGCTTATACCACCTTGAGTCTCCTGCATCTCAGTGTCACGGTTGCTTTGGCAACAAATTGAGAGAGGCTGGGAGCAGCTCAGCACGGGAAAGAAGGAGAAATTTGCCAGATTTACAAATCTCTCTCTGACCTAGCTCGTCCATCAAGCAATGGGCTTCCAGCCATGTCTCCCCGGCTCAGGAGGGCTGCTGCTAAGTGCATTTAAAATGCAATTAACCTACCTCTCGGAGGTTAGTGTGGCCTTCTGAGGAAGGAGACTGGGCTTTGCTGGGTTAAGGGGGCTCTTAGAACAGGCTGATAAAGGCACCCAGCCATATTCCCTTGAGCCTGGAGGGCACCACTGGAGAGGGGAAAGCATTAACCCTTGCGCTGCGCTTTATAGGGTTTGCAAATATTGAGCAATGTATTGGTTTGGGTGTTGGGGGTTTTTTTCCTGTTTTTTTTAAACGAATTAGATGATAGCGAATATCCCTGTGCATAGAAAACTGTAAACCAGAGTGAGGTCAGAGCATCATCCAGCCAAGAGGGCAAGTAATGCAGGAGTTGGAAGCGATGGCAGAGGAGGAATTATTCCCCTCCTCTGCGTGAGGTGGGTCTGGGAAGCAGAGCGGGCAGGGAGCTCGCGAGGTACAGTCAGTTCTTGGCCGGGTAACCTTGGCCAAGGAGCATCCATCCCTTCCCCGGCTGTAGGAGCGTGGCCAGCGTGAGCGGCACCTGAGCGAAGGGTGCAGCTTAGAGGCGGGTGGTGGTCAGGAGGCATCTGGACTCTGAAGACCGGTGCTGGGTTTCCATTCTCTCACGCTCGTTTGCCTGCCTTCCTCAGAAGGAACGATGAGGTGACGCACATTAAGATCCAGAACACGGGGGATTACTATGACCTGTACGGCGGCGAGAAGTTCGCCACGCTGGCAGAGCTGGTGCAGTACTACACCGAGCAGCAAGGGCTGCTGCGGGAGAAGAACAGCAACGTCATCGAGCTGAAGTACCCTCTCAACTGCCAGGACCCCACCTCGGAGAGGTAAGCCACGCTCTCTAAAAGCCTTTCCTGGTGAAGGTGATGCTGTCTTCCCAGATGGCTCAGGCCGGATAGTTGTACCTGGCCTGGGTTTGGAAAGGAGCCCGAAACAGAGTATGTTTGGGTGTGATTTAGCTTTAATGACCCAAAAGCTGCACATCACTGGGATATGGTTCCCGAGTTGCCCTGCGTGCAGACGTGACCAGAAGCTGGCTAGGTAACATCAGCAAGGCCCAGAAGCTGGTACTTGCTCAGCATCAGTGTGTGCTAATAAGCTTTCTCTAGCCTTTAAGCAACTGGGAACATAGAAACGTAGAATCATAGAATAGTTTGGGTTGGAAGGGATCTTTAAAGGTCATCTAGTCCACCCCCCGCCTCCCCATGCGATGAACGGGGACATCTTCAACTAGATGGGGTTGCTCAGAGCCCCGTCCAACATGAGTCCATCTGCAAGGGCTCCTGCAGGAGGCATGCAGCTTTGGTTTTAAAAGAAACCAAACACCTGCCAGTGACTTGTCTGCCTGCAGAACGCTGGGTAGAAATGCCTGGTAAAAAGTCATCCCCATCCCATCTCTGTCTGTAACCACTATTCATCCTAACAGCAACCCACCGTTGCCTTGCAGGGATGGGGCTGGCTGACTTGCTGCGAGAAGTGGCTTGCCTTGGGCTACTTCAGGATGTTTCTGCCAGCCGATCAGTGACCTTCTTTCCTCCCCTTGGTCCATGACACTCCAGTGACCCCTTTTTTCCCTTTTTCCTCCCCCTCAGTTTCCCCAGTGTCATATGCAGCAGCTGACACGGTGGGTTGGAAAGGGGAACACCTAGTCAGGCGGCTGGCGATGCCAAAGCAAGCCCCTAACTACTCTAACTTTAGCAGCCAGGGTAAGGCGAAGCTGCGACCAGTCTCAGTTCCTGAAATGGAGCAGAAGCGCTCCCCTCCACGCCGTCATGTGAGCCGAATGGGCCCGGGTGCTGGGAAGTCCCTCCAGCTCATGTGCTCCCTTGTTGCCAGGGTGGTTTCTTTGCTCGTTCCAGATCGCGGTGTGAAAAGCAGCCGGGCAGCTGCTCACATTAGCAGAAGCTCTGGAAAAGTGGAAACCCCCTTCAGCTGGGTTTCCCCCTCTTCTCCTGCCAAGGAAAGTCTGGCTTGGCAAGGAAGCTCCAGAAAGGTTTCTGCTGCAGACCACACATCTGGTGGCATCAGGGAGAAGGGAGGGAAAAGGGTCCCAGTCCTCTAAATATACGAAATGACGACAGTGTCAGAATATAGCGGGATGCGTCAGGGTAAGCAGTGTTTCCAAGACCTGGGCTTGAATAGCAGCAGTGCTGTAAGCAGGCACCGAGGTTCTTCACCAGAGTTTGGCCGTTCTGCCCTCTGCAGCAGTAAGACTCGTGCAGCCCCATGATCCTAATGCCTTCCCAAGCCTCTGGGAAGGACTTTTGCTCTTTAGAGGGCTTCCCAGTCAGGCTTGTAAAGGCTGCCTTTGCAGCGTGCTGAGTCGGGACTTGAAAGGCCCAGCATCACTGACTGCTCTTCTATAAACTTCGTCCTCCGGGACAAAGTTGCTGAGATGTGATGCGATGCCATTGCATCGCCCCTGGAAGGTTATTTTGAGCCTCTCTGAATTCCTGGCGGCTTGGCTGGCAGGCCAGGAGCCAGCGTCTTCAAAGTGGGACCTGTGGCATCTGCCCAGAGCCACTGCTGAGTATTGATGGAGCGTGGGGCTTGAAGGCTCCATGGCAAAAAACCCCTCTGCTTCACTCCAAACTGTTATTTGTCTTTATGGAGATGGAGAAACAGGGGCATGTGCACGCAAGGTGTACACAGGCGGAGAGGTGGAGCAACTCACGCCCACGCAGCGAGGCTCGGGAAGAGCTGAGCACAACCCTTTGCACGTTGTGATCGCCGCTGGTCGGAGACGCGGCCGCGGGCAGGGCTGGAGGGGGAGAAGCATCCTGGGCACAGCGGGGAACCTGGTTTCGCCACTCCAGGTGAGCGTGGAGGGTGCTTCTGTTCTCCCTCAGCCAGACCTGAGCTGAGGTTAGTGACCTGGGAGGGGAGCAGCAGTAATTACAGCTAGGAGGACCCTTTTGAAAATCTTTCCCAAACTGTGTCAAAGCATCTTGTTCCTGGCCGGTGTTGTCCATGCTTGGGTCTGATACTGTCCGACTACAGCCTGCTGACTCCAAGCGTTCGTTTTCTTCCATATTAAAGGAAAACGTAGCCACCTTCCAGTAAGAACTGCCAGAATCGTGTTTCTTATAGCTTCGTCAGAGCCCTATCCCTAGATGACAGTGCTTGTCACGCATCACGTGGCAGTTTAATACACTGATGCCATTTCACATTTGGCGGGAGGATTGAGCAAAGTCCTGACGCTTCCAGCCTCAGGCTAAGGTATTGATGTGACATTGCAAAGCGTTGGAGGAAAGTCACTGGGGACTGTTTCTAAAAATAACTCAAGCCGGTGTCATGCCAGTGGGGAGAGCAGTCAGACTGGGAGCCTAGAAATGGGTTTCCCGTGAACGCCATCCCCAGCAGTGAGTGTAGCTCTTGTCTAAAGGCAATGCTCTGTACGTTTCGGAGCTAACCTTGCTCTCTCCGTTCCTGCTCCTTAGGTGGTACCATGGGCACCTCACCGGCAAGGAGGCAGAGAAGCTTCTGACAGAGAAAGGGAAACCAGGTAGCTTTCTGGTACGAGAGAGCCAGAGCAAACCAGGAGACTTTGTATTGTCGGTGCTGACGAACGAGGATAAGATGGAGACTGGGGACAGAAAACCACACGTGACCCACGTCATGATCCACTACCAGGTGGGAAACGTGGAGAAACGTACCGTCCCCGCTCAACCCGCTGGGTGGGTGACCCAGCTGGGAGCTGTGCCTTCGAGTCTCACCGGGGTTTTGTCATTTTTTCCCCTGCAGCCGGATGGGAAGTATGACGTGGGGGGAGGAGAGAGGTTCGACACGCTCACAGACCTGGTGGAGCACTATAAGAAGAACCCCATGGTGGAGAAATCCGGAGCTGTGGTTCATCTGAAGCAGGTAATAGCTGGTCTAGCACATACTTGTCGGTTCTGGGCTTGCCCAAACTCCCGGGGGAGTGCACGGATCTGCCCCTGCTCTTTGGGAACTCCCTGCCCCCAGAACATCCCGGCTGGCTACTTGTCGTGCTTGTCCAGGCTCATACTTGCCAGAGAGGTCCCTGGCCTCACACTCAAGGCCTTGGGAATGGACCCAACTCCTGCCAATACTCCCAGGGATTCAGGAACTGTTTTTTTTCAAGGGGAAAGTTACCTGTCTTTCTGTTACTGAAAGCGATTTCTATTCTGTCTTCATCTGCCTTTCAGCCATTCAACGCCACACGCATCAATGCAGCTAACATTGAAAACAGAGTGAAGGAGCTGAACAAAATGGCAGATCACAGTGAGAAGGCCAAGCAAGGGTTCTGGGAAGAGTTTGAGGTACGGGATGCTCCTGTCTGTGCTCTGTCCCATTTGTGCCTGTGGGTGAAGAATGTCATTCTTGCATGGGAGCGTCATGGTTTTCCAGCACTGAGGACCTCTTCTCCACACCGTTTCTCCTTTTCCTGTTTTCCGTGTTCCACGAGTTACTTCCCGGTCCTTTCTTTCATTGCTTTTTCTCATGTCCGAGGCAGTTTCTCCTTCCTCATCCTAGAACTGCGTGCCTTTTGTTCCCTGCAGGGATTTGTGCCTTTTCCCCCCCATTAACTCTCTCATCAAACAGCTTCTTGGCTCCCTTTCCTTTCCTGCCAGCACTCCCTCTACTCTTCTCAGCATCAGGAAGCCAAGCCGCTAGTTGAAAGAGCCCTTCCTTTGCCTCTGACTCCCCTCGTCTGCCCAGAACAGTTCGTTCTTTTGTATTCTGCTCCACAGATGCTGCAGCAGCAAGAGTGTAAGCTCCTCTACCCCAGGAAAGAGGGACAACGACCAGAGAACAAGGCTAAGAATCGCTACAAGAACATCCTTCCCTGTAAGGAGACCCTGAATACTGGTTTGGGTTTTTTTCACCGCAATTTCTGCAGCCTTCTCTGGGGCTAGCTAACCCTGCAGAGCTTTTTTTGATCATAGCTGAGTGGTCCAATTAGTTTGTGGTGTTCTCCATCCCCTTTCTAACCTGGTCCTTCCCTTGTGCGTGGGAAACTGGGAAATTGCTCTCCTCTGTGCTGGGAGTCTGAATATGCTTCAGAGCTCAATTGTAGTTCAGAAATCATATGGAGCCAGAGGTAGAGCCTCCAAAGGAAATACTGGAAAACCCGAGCTCAGGTTAGTCTGTAGCAACAGTGTGTTTTGCTAATGTCCATCCAAGTTACTAGATTGGCAACACAACTGTGAGCCGGGTAGTGTGGAGTAGTGCTAAGTGTCATTAGGAGAGCGTTTTACACCTTTTTTTGCAGTAGTTACCCATGTGACTTCATAGTAAGAGCCTGGTGGGAGCCGCTGTGACTGCCCTCAGCAAAGCCCATCAGTTCTCCCATGTTCATTCTGGACTCTCTTCTCCTTCAGTTGATACCACACGGGTGGCACTCCGAGATGTCGATGAGAGCGTGCCCGGGTCGGACTACATCAATGCCAACTATATCAAGGTACCTGGGAAAGGGAAGACACCGTGTCGGGGCTGTCCTCAGCCCCATGCTATGTTTCTGGTGGGTAAGGGCAGTAATGGTGTAAGTCTTGAGGGAATGGCCTGGCAGGACCAGTATCTTTCACTGGGTCCAGGCCAAACACTGGATTTTTCTACCGTATCCCAAGAGACCTCATCATTCTACCATGTCCTATTTGCCCCTATCTAACAGTTTATCTCGATCCCCTCCTTTCCTTACCTGTTCAGAAAGTCTAAGGGGACTGACCCAGACTCTCTGTCATTGAACGTTATCTCTGAGGTCAAATTATAATTGTCATCTGTAAGCTAAGAGCTGCTCGAAGCTGTATTTCCAGCAATGCTGCTCTGGCACTTAAGCACCAGCCTTTGGGAAGCCTTCAAGGTGGCTTTGTTCCAGCCACATCCACCTGCAACTTCTGCAGCTGCCTGCTGGCAAGAGCCTGTTGCGCAGTAATGCACGTTACAGCAGCATAAAGGTCCCTGGAGGCAGGCAGACCATTTTGCTGGCGACTGTTGAAGCTGGTGATGGGAGCGGTTCATGTCTGCAGGTCTGACCAAGAGAGCAAAATCAGCTAGCTCAGAAATCCTGCGTGGCAGGGTGTGCTGACTTTGCTGCTAAAGGTGCACTAAAGCAATTCTCAATTCCTCACTCCAGCATCATTGGCGCTTTTTTTTTTTCCCCCCCCCCTCTCCTTTGGTCCTCAGAGCATCCCTGAAGATGGAAGGAACTCTGAGCACTGCAAGATCTATATAGCCACCCAGGGCTGCCTGCAGACAACAGTGAATGACTTCTGGGCCATGGTCTACCAAGAGAACAGTCACATCATTGTCATGACCACCAAGGAGGTGGAGCGAGGCAGGGTGAGCACTAGTAGGGTGCTGTCCCCAAGCCTGAAAGTACTGCTAGTACTAAGAGTGTTCAGTTAAGTTGTATCTGGCTAGCTTTCATTTAATTTCTCTTCTGCCTTGTAATGATGCTTTAGCTCTTCTTCATGACAGAAACATACCACTTTGCTCTGCACAGCCTATCTCCCTAGCCCCATGAATATTAATGGGGTGTCCCTCGTATGACTTGCTTCAAGGCTCTGGGGAGCTGCAGGTGGCAGAGAAAGAGAGAGAGAAGGCATCGTGCTTCTTATGTGCTTCTTTCCAGCAAGCTGGAAAGCCGGGGAGTGGCAGCGCATTGCAAGCTGTGTGAGGGGCAAAAGAAATTCTACAACCTCTCTGTGTACCACCTGTACGCATTTCACTAAGAGTGGGTTGGTAAGGGGCCAGGGAATACAGTGAAATTCCATGGTTCCATGCAGAGCTATTTACCAGAACACCCTTCCCTAGTAAAGAGAGGAGCTAATGATGATTGACACTAGCAGTTTTGCTTGGGAATGAGGGGGAGGCTGCGCTTGTAGCAGCCTAGCGCGGAGATGAGATAAAGATAGCTCTACTCACAAGCTGCCTTTTGTGCTGGCAAAGTCGCTATAGCAAAGAGGGGACAGGCTGGAGGACAGAACAGGTACAGGTAGACTGTGTAGCCCCTTGGGATGGAGATTTGGCTCAGGAATTAGGCAATGACCAGACCAAGGGGTCAGGTGCTGTGTGTCAGGACTATATCTTTAGCAAAGCAATGCCTACCTGAGGCTGGGGCTAGCTGGGGAGGGAGATTCCCCTAGGGATCACGTCCTTCGTATAGGAATGGCCCTTCCCAGTACTTCCCCAGTTCAAAGGAAATGCTCTGTGTGTATGGCTCTCCTTTAAACCTCTACACTGGGGCTACGCACCCTTTGACCGCAGCAGCATCCCTGAGCGAGGTGTTCAGGGGTTCACCCTCCAGCTCCCCAGCCTCAACTAACGAGCAGCTCTCTGCTGTTGCTGCAGAACAAATGCTTCCGTTACTGGCCAGACAAGAGTTGCACCAAGGAGTATGGGTGCATCTGTGTGCGGAACGTGAGCGAGCGTGAGGCCCAGGGCTACTACCTTCGGGAGCTGGAGATCTTGCGGACTGACAGGGTGAGTCCTCTGCTGCTGGCTGCCCGCTGTACTGGGAACGGGCTGGTGCTGGAACCACCGGGGAGGGAGATGTCACTTTTCTGTAATTTTTTTTTTTTTTTTTTTTTTTTTTTTTTTTTATGGTCCCACTGCTTAAGTTCTGGGCCACTTTGCCCCAGGTTTGATAAAAAGAAAGGAAGGATAGACGCCTCCTACTAGGAGGAGTTCTCTGACTCAGTGGTGGGTCTCTGCTCCCCGCAGGATGAGCGCCCGCGACTGGTGAAGCACTATCAGTATTTTAGCTGGCCGGACCACGGGGTGCCCAATGAACCAGGAGGGGTTCTGAGCTTTCTGGACCAAGTGAATCGGGCACAGCGAAGCATTCCAGACACGGGCCCGATCATAGTGCACTGCAGGTACGAACCAGTGGCCCGCAGCTGGGTCATCATGTGAGCTGATGGTGTGCAATTGGGATATAAGTATAGACATGGGAAAATAAAGCCCTCCTCCAGAGCCTCGCTGGTGATAGCGCAGGGAAGAGCAGACCTGAGCTGGAGTTGGTAGCTCTGATGCAGCCTGCTAGACTCCGATCTCCTAAGGGTCAGCATTTGGCTGAGCTTATCTTATAGCAGCCATGCCATATCAGCCCAGGATGGACCAGGCATGCAGATGAGCGTGGGAGCTGAGCTGACTTTGGGGAATGTTTCTTCCTGCAATCATTATTTCTTTTCTCTTTGCAGTGCTGGAATAGGACGTACGGGCACCATCATAGTGATAGATATTCTGGTGGATATTATTCACAGGCAAGGTATGTCTCCCTGCCTATCTCACGGCTTTCACCGTTTGCCTTGCTCTGACCAGTTATGGGATAACCCCGCTCTTGTGCAAGCAGTGGGTACGTGATCTCCAAGCAGCGGGTTTGACTCGTCCGGGAAACAGTGGGCATAGGTTTAGCCTGAATGCAGGGCGAGAAGGGCTTTTGGACTGTGCCCGGTTCCCCATTTCTCTGGGGGCCAAAAAGCGGAGCTCTAACGTAATGAAACGTGAACCTTCTCCAAACGGGTGTGCACATAGGCAGCCCTCTAGTAAGGGAGATGTTTTCAGCAGCACAGCACCCGAGAGTCTTCTCATTGGCATCAGTGGGGCCAGGATTTCAAGGTCTCCTGGACAACCCTCTTTTATTGAGGCCGGGGCGAAACAGGTTCAGTAAGGATATAACTCCAGTAGTCCTTTTAGAAATGAATCCCCCAGACTCTTCTGTGTAGAAGGGCTGTCACCCTTATCTGAAATTCTAGAGCTGTTGTGGAATTCTCCGTGGTATCTCTGAGTCTGGTCCGGGAGCCTTGAGGCAGGTGGACCCTCTTCAGCAATGGTTGCATCTATTTCGTAAACCGTGCAAGGGTGGTAAGCCTGGATCTATAGGAAGTTGCCACAGAGCAGACCTAATTCCCCTCCCGTCTCCTGGCTCTAGGCAAGTCAGACCTGCCTCAGCCATTCTCAGTCCAAGGTGCTTTTGCAGGAATAAAAAAGAAAAAAGAAAAAAACCAAAATCTCCTAGGCACAGAGATGCACCAAATCCTTTCACAATATTCTGGGGCTTTGCTGAGACTGTGTGCAGCGAGATACTGAAAGCTTTCAAAGCTGTCTTAAGAAAATAATTTTTCAACCTAATTCCCTCTCCCTAAACCTCACCTTCTCGCTCTTGCGCAGGTTTGGACTGCGATATTGACATCCCCAAAACTATCCAGATGGTACGCAGGCAACGTTCGGGCATGGTGCAGACAGAGGCGCAGTACAAGTTCGTTTACATGGCTGTTCAGCAGTACATTGAGGCTGAGCAGAAGAGGTTGGAAGAAGAACAGGTGAGTCCCGTTCGGCTTGGTTGGAAAAGGAAGGGCAGAACTTGGCCCACACCAAACACCACTTCCACTCCTCCCTTCTCCCTGGAACTCAAATACTGCCCTGAGCGCATGGAAATAAACCCACGCCCAGTGCTGCCCTGCTGGCGTACAGGATCTTGTAAGGCTTGCTTCTGTATCTGCATTGAGTGGGGTTTTATTGCCTTTGCCTTCTCTTTCAGAGGAATAAAAGGAAAGAGCGAGACTACTTGAATATCGGCTACGCTCCTATGGAAAAAGGCAGAGCCAAAGGGCAGCCCCCTTCGCCACGGAGCCAGTCTGCGTAAGCTGAACATCTCTCTGCCGGGGCTAAGAACTTCTGCAGCAGTAGAGGGAACAGCTTGAGCAAAGGCCCCACTATTTATCCTTTGCCAGCCTGCCTCTCCCATACCTGAAACCTGACCGGTTGCCGGCTATCGTATGGGAATGGCTAAAAATAAACAGGTGATGCCACCACACTGTCAGCGGTGGTGGTAGCAGCCCGCTTTGCTTGTGTGCTACACTTTTGGAAAGGAGAGGAGGAAATAAATCCTAGCCTTTAGTGAGTAGTGCCCCATATCCTTGGCTATGGAGAATGGCTCTGGAGAATCAGCTAGAGAGTGAAACCGTGCTACTGCCGCTGAGGGGCTTTTACAGCAAAATCTGAAGGAAAATGAGAAGAGAGCAGAGGGAGGTGGATTCACACCCATGCAGAGAGGGAGCATGTGCTAAGTGGCATGAGTTCTTTACATAAGCAGAGAGAAAATAGCCCCAAATTATGTTTTTCCCTCTCGGCCCAAGTAACGGGATACCAGCGAGTGATGGAAAGGGGGTTGTAAGTGGAAGGTGAGTGGGGTACGGACACACGTCAGTTATATAGTATCAGAGCTTTTGGGTACCTTGAATTGCAGGACCGGTTTTGAAAGAAGAGGTAGCTAGGCAGGAGCAGAGGAGTGGGTGTTAAAGCAAAGGCAGAAATGCTGTTGCTGGGCTCACGCAGAATGAAAAATCCAACTGAAGAAGGCAAAAAGAGATGTCACCCGTTCTTCTCTGGGCGTTTGGCCGCCGCCGGAGTCCTGGTGGCTCCTGCCTGCTCAGGCAGTGCCAAAGGGAAATCTGGATCCTTCGCTGGCATTATGAACCTTCTGGCTCCTGCTGGATCTGGCCAGTTGACATCTTCCCTGCTGGACTCTAGAAACGTTTGTGTCTTGTTTAAAATGCCCAACTTTGAAATTGCAGCTCTGAATAAATGGGGGGGAGGACCGTGTGGGACCGAGCTGAGCAAGGTGAGCTCTGCGTGGCTGGTACTACTCCAGAGAGCTCCCGTGAGTTCAGCTTTGGGCGTCAGACCTGCTTTAGAGGTACTTGGATCTGGTCTTTGGAGCAGCCCTCTCCTTCTATCAGATTTTGGAAAATCCAGAGACATTGGGTATGTAGAGAAAGTAAGAGTAGGAAATACCAGGAACTGTATCCACTGATCCTGCAGAAACTTTGCATCCACGAGAGGCTGATGTGCGGGGAAAGGTTCAAGGCTCCATCCCCAAACTGTATTTGAACGCAGGAAGGGTGGCCCAGCCAGAGGGAGAGAAAACGGGGAGTGAGAACAGCGGGTAACCCAATGTCATCCTGCCTACAAGGCTGGGGAGGGAAAAAGGGAGCTCGACTGGGCTATTACCCAGTTCCCACTGGCCACCTTCCTCTGGGAAAAGATCCAGAGCAGCGAGGCTGTTAATAACAAGGCTTTGTTTCTCCACAGGGTTGATGACGAGTCAGCTTCCGTCTACGAGAACCTTAACATCAAAAGCCCAAAGGTTTCAGGGATGAGTAATACAGGGCGATAAAAGAGCCGGAGGTGAGCTGTACGGAGGCTGCACAGGTAGGAATGCTTCCCTTGATTAACCGACAGTGTCACCACAGGCTGTTGACATTGCATTTCACCCGGCTCCTCTTCAGCTCAGCTTACGCAGATTTCTGCAGCTCTGCCTGCATCAGGGAAGGCAGCTACGCTCTGACGAAATGGGACGGAGCCTAAAGATGTGGCTGTGGCCAGCTGCTGAGGGGGGGAACGGGGTAATGAGATCTCAAGAGGGAAACGTATTTACGACGTTACCGGTGAGGGGGGGAGATCTGCTTTTCTGCCCGTTAACGTCAGGAAGCTGTCAGACTCCGAGAACAAGACTGTGCTATGTGTGCAAACATAGACTTCACACGCTGGGAGTGTCTCAGCTCTGTAACCTTATCGATGCACTTTTCTCCCAGTTACAAACCAAGCCACCCTTCTTCCCTCTTGTTTTGGAATGCAGGATTTACAGGGTTTACGTCCACCCTTTCCGAGTTCTGCGATTGCGGACAACTTTTTTTGCCCATCTTGCCTTCCCCAGGCACCTTGGATTCAGCGAGGAAGTAAGAAGCTGACTGTAAGAAGTGAGCAGAGTCTGCACCTAAGAACATGCCTTGACCTAACTTATTCACGAGAAGGATCTTCTCCCATTCTCCCTTGTATCAGTAGGTTGATATTTATGTGGAAGTGCCTCTGGACATTCATTAGGGCATCAAGGCTCAGTTTTTGGTTTTGTTTTTGTTGATTTTTTTTTTTTTAATTTAAGATTCTTATTTTTTACACACAAATTGTTAAAAGGAACAGAAATGACTATTTGCTTAGGAGCTTTCCCAGGGTTGCCCGCTTAGGGCGTTAGTAAAAAGTTAGTACACTTCAATGTTTTCATTAGGTCAATCATTTCTAAGCTTAGAAGCGTTTTTAGACTAAATCCTGGAGTAACTTTGCTGCCTGTGAGGGTGAGAAATAGAGCGCGCTGCCTGGACCCAGGTATTTGCACCTCTGTTGATTCTTCTTCTCACGCTCCCTTTTGGCTGCACCGGTTCTAGATTTCTACGCAACCCTGCCAAAGCACACCGAGCAATCCCTGCTGCTGTAGTACAGCAGATGCGTGTGTGTGTGTGTGTGCCCGAGAGCCTGCTAGCTGCTCTGCACGTGGTTTCGTAGCAGAATTGAAAGACAGAGGTGAGCATCTCCATCCTTGACTGTGTGGGTCTGAATGTTGAGCTAAGTGAAATCCTACGTAGCTGATGGGTGCTGAAGCCTAGGAAAGCAGCTTTCACTGTGCGCTGTGCTTTTAGCCACCCCTAGTGAGGAACAGCCTAGGATACTAATCTGAGCTGAACTTTTTGAGCTGGGCCCCTCCGAGCTTGATGCAGCTCTGCCATTACCTTGCAGCATGACCTCTTTATTTTTTTTCGCCCCCCCCGCAACTATATGACAAGGCAAGTGTTGTGTCTGCTGAGTTAGGGGTGTTGTAGGAGCGTTTGTGACTTGACCAGTGCCATGAAGATGAGCGTGTCACCGAGTGGAGTATTCCAGCTCTGTTGATTTAGGTCTCGACTTGCGACTGCCAGTGCTCCCTGCTGTTTCAGCCCTAAAGCCTGCCAAAGAACCCCTTCCTGCAGGATTCGTCAGTGCCTGAAGGTGTGCTCTGTGCCAGTGCCTGAAGCTCCAGAGCCCGCGTGGGGCTGGTCTTGAAGTCCTCCTAGGTCTCTGGAACTGGATGGACTTGCTGTGTGGTTGGGGTATTAGTGCCTGGAGTTGCCAGCTCCAAGTGTTGAGCAGAAGGGGTTGAACAAAAGCACAATGACATACCTTGGCTGTATTTCCTGGCTGGTCTCTTTGGTCCCTTGTCACAGGGACAGGAGAACTGTTTATTTTTATTGCACTTTTAATAAATGTTGAATATTCGCAATGCTTTTTTTTTTTTTCCCCTTTCTTTCTAAGTAGTTTGCTTTTGGGGAAAGTGACTGACGGTTGGTGTGGACAATGGGGCATCCTGAATGTCTCCCACGGCCAAATGCTGCTGTTCGGGGCCCTGTTTTCCCTTGCTTTGAATGTTCCTTTTGACTATGCATGAGTGAGAGGTTCTGCTGCGTGCTAGCTAAACCTTCAACCTTTGTTTCCAAGTGCATGGTGAGAAGGGGAAGTGCAAAGGGACAGCCCCCACAAGGATGCTGTGACACACTACTAGGAACGGTTGGAACTGCCAGAACATCTCTGTGGCCCCTTTGCCACCGTAACAATAGATTTTATGAGGCTGAAGGTGTTATTTCCCTCTCCCCTGCCCTTAGGTCTCATTAGTGGGAGTTGAACGGTAACAAAGATGTAACAACAAAGCACTTCATCTCTACTACTGTCTATTTGCTGGGCTTAGTCCCAAATGCACCTTGGGTAAAATGGAAGTGCCTTTTCTGCCTTAAGTCTTGGTGAGTCACTTTTTCCAAGAACACACTTAAATTGGTGCTGTGAAGATACCCTTGCAGTGACAAGCACGGGGGAACGGACAGGATGATACGAGTGAGAATCCCTGTCAAGCCCGATGACTTTGCAGAAGTTGTTACAGTGCCTGGAGTAGTTTCTGCAGACGTGTGGCTGGCACAGATAATACCAGCCTGCAGCCTAACAACAAAGGTGTTGCAGATACAGCACACACAGCAGCTTTCCACACAAGTTTTGCATAGCAACAGACTCAAGTTACTTCTGCCGTTGCTTCAGTCTTTTTTTTTTAATTTCAAATTAGATTTTCTGGAAAGGGAGACTGGAAGCATCCTTTGCAGCTTCTCATTTTTCAGGTCACATCAGGTAAACGCAGAGGGAAGTGGCACCTGGGACAACACTGCCTAGATGGTAGTAAGTACGAATTTACCGGATAAAGCTGTCCACACGTGCAGGATTGTACAATGCTGGGAGAGCTGATGCACGGGCCAGAGTAAAGACATGCCACTTGCTGTGTATCTGGGATCTGGGAACGCAGCTGGACTCAGTCCTGCTGCAAGTAAGAAGGGAAATGCAGAGTAATTGCTACAGATTGACACCTTGCATTGTATAAAACATAATTTAATGCATACACGTATGGTACTTGCATACAATACTGTCTTACATCCATGTGTTTGAATAGAAAACATTTAATCGTAAGCCGCCTTAATCACAAAGACTTTTGTTAATAATCACTGTCAGAAGATCACTGCATTAAATAAAAATACAGTGTAAGCAACTGGCCTGTGTCTTAATACTGACACATTTTAAGATTAGGAGGGTAAAGCTGTCAAAAGGTGGAACTTCTGTTGTTTTGGCAACAGTTTGCCCGTGAGAAGCACGAATGAAGTTCGCTGATGGAGTCACTTGAGGAGCAGGGTTATACTGCTGTGTCGGTGTGCCTAACAGAATTTTCAAACATCTTCTCAGGAAAAACGAGGAGAATGGCTACTCTGTTCTGTTCAAAAGCTCATCAGGATAGTAACACAACTCAGGGGGTGGGTAGCAGTGATAGATCCCTGTTTTGTCAGCAGGAGGCACCATTTACACCTCCAACACTGAGTAACACCAAGGAAATGTTTCAAGCACGTGGAATAAGGACAATTTTCATCTGCTTACACGACTTTAACAAATCTTTACCCTCCCAATCCCGGCTCCTCTTAGGAACAATCATGTAGATCCTTCCGATTGCAAAAATAGCCCTTTAGGAACTGCACCCGCTGTCGTCTGGTATCGGGCCAAGGCGGCACACAGCCGTGCGCCTCTCAAGGCGAACACTTCTAGAAACCTGTCTCTTGCTTTCAGAGCTCTGGTTTCCATGGAGAAGTTGGCAGCAGGATGCTGAGGCAGCTCCTTGGAGCATTCCTGGGCTGGAGGCAGCTTGGCGGGCGAGTATTTCAGCAGAGCTCCTGGAAGCGGGTGCGTGCGTTCCATGGGCAAGGCGCAGAAGGGGAGTGGGGTCGAGGGGGTCTGCCGGCAAACCGAGGAATGCCGTCAGGGCAGTAAACCCTGTTCTGCCTCCCTGCTGTGCCGTGGGGAGGGATAGACGGGAGCGAGGGGTCGCCTCGCCGCTACGGGAAAGGGAGTTGTGTCACGGGTGTTGCCGCTGTGGTGTGTTTCGGGGGAAGATACTCCGGCCTGCTCATTGCAACAGTCCTCGTGAAGCAGCGGAGGTTCCCCGTCTTCAGGGCACACTGGACCGGCCACAGAATGATGCAGAACAGGATGATGATCAAGGCGGAGAGGAGGACTATGCGTTTCCAGTCGTCGCACATGTCGCAGCGGGACAGCCTCCCAGCTATCCCCGCCGGGGGAGCCTCCGGAGTTTCTGGCTTGCTCATGGCGACGTCGATGGAGATGCACGAGTCTGGGTTCTCGGGGTCATCGGATGCCTGACGGCAGCAGAGCTTGGTCCCTTCCATCCAGAGCACCTTCTCCTGCTGGAGTTCGGGAGGCAGCGTGGCGAGGAGCTCTTTGCTGGTCTCGAGTGCTGGGGCACCTTCCAGAGGGATGCTGGTCAGCTGCCTGCAGAAGGGACAGGGGAGCTGGTCCTCTGGTTGATTCGGGGGTAGCCCCGTGCTCAGGCGGGCCACGCACTCCAGGCAGAAAACGTGGGAGCACTGGAGCAGCTTGGGCGTCTTGAAGGTGTTGTCGTAGGTGTTGAAGCAAATGGAACACTCGACGGGGGAGGTCGGCTTCGGAGACGTTGGGTTCGGAGAGCCCGGCTTGTCGGTTGGGGACCTCGCCTTCCTCTTGCCATCCCCTGGGGAGGTGACAACAATGGGGCTGATGGGGATGGGGATTTCACTTGGAGATGCCGGGACTGGGCTGGTGGGAGAGTCGGGCGTGTTGGAGTGCCACAGCTGCGTGAAGCACGACATGACGGAGGCCGGCGAAATAAATAGAGCCCTGGGAGACTCTAGAAGAGAAGAAAACCACAGCCTTCATTTTAAACAATGACGTGAAGACACCCGTCACCAGGCCTGTGTTTAACCCCTTGAAAGGAACAAAGAGCAGGTTCATGACTTCCACTGCATCCTGAGCCTGGAACAGACCCCTGCTAGAGGTGAGAATGACCCAGGTAGCCTGTTCGAAGCTGCATCCCGAAGGTGAAGTGAAACGTCCTGCAAAGAAGCAAGCAACCAGCAGAGATCCGCCAGCCAGCCAAAGCCTTTTCACCAGAACCACCGTGGCGTCATAGATGGGAACTTCCCCCGTACATGCCTCCCTCTGGGCAGAAAAAAAAAAAAAAAACCAACACGACAAAAAAACCTACCCCAGCTGGTGCTCCCCGACACCTGAGCAGGGAGGAGAGCAGAAGACTCCATGAGGTCAGGTAGGGACCTCGCTATGGCAGTCTATTAGTCTGGGAGGCACTCAGATATTATGGTGGCAGCATGAACAAGGCCTAAGAGACAGATAACACTATTCAGTTGCGGAGATAGCGGGGCAAGGGGGGTGAATCTCTCTCTTTGGCGTGCTCAGACAGAGCTTTCGTGCCTCGAATCGGGGTTCTGCAGGCAAGCGTGGCACCAGCCGACGATGCTGCCTGGTTTTGTCTATCCACAGCGGGATCTGAGCCCCCTCACGTCCCAGGAGAACCCAAGGAAGGTGAGGAAAAGCTGTTATCTCGTAAGGTTTGTTCTATCCCTGGCCCCAAGCAGCATCTCTGTCGTGTCACCATGACACAGCGAGAAAGGCGACGTTGGAGGAAATGGCCTTGGTGCCAGAGCAAGGGGAATTCTCCACCGTTTCCTTGTTGCTCTGTTTTCCCTAGGGAAATACAGTTCTTCCTTGTCCTCGGCCCTGGAGGAGTGCCAGCTTGCTGTGTGCTGCCATGTGCTCTCCGCTTTCTTGTGGCGTGCAAGCAGGAGCCTTGAGTTGAATGGCTAATATGCCAGTTCTAGCAAATTGGTTTACAACTTTGACTCCAGCCTTTTCAGCAACCTGAATGTTACCTTGAATTCCTGTTATCCTAAGCTAGACATGCAGCTTCGCATACGTTCTGATATTCAGATATATGACTTTTCAGCTATTGAGCACTTTTACCCGAAAGCAAGCGTTTAGCTGGAGGAACTTCCCAGCGACAGCCCTGATGCTGTATGCCTGGGGAACATTTTTTTTAGGATGTGTCACCGAACTAGCTAGGCTTGATTCTTTGTGTTGGGAGATTTACCGATGACAAGCCAGAAATGTTCAGATTGCTGCTGTAATTATAGGTCTGCAGTCAGTCCGGCAATGGCTCACCAGCATGGGCTAGAGACTCCACATCTCAGCATAAAAGGCTAACTTAAGGTATCGGAAGGACCCTGTATACCTCACATGGCACAAAAAAGTCTCCATTATTTAAGAATGAAGTATTCTCCCCTCTCCCATCACAGCTAGCACTGCCAGAGCTGAAACCAACTTTAAGAACCTTCCTTATTGTCTTCTCTTATTTTAAATGAAGAAATTTTTGTGGAGCCTCTCCTCAAGTTAAATTTTCAGTCACAGACTATCTGCGCTTTTCAGCAAGTTGTAATTTATTTAAATGTATTTTTTTCTCTGGCTACAGATCACCATGCGTGTTTTAGCACAATCTGCCAGATGCTGATGAATTACAAATCCAAGCCCAAGTTGGCACAGAGATGAGGGAAACCTCTGGGGTTTGGTTTTTTTGGTTTGTTTTTTTTTTTTTTTTGCTAAACCTTCTGTTTTGCAGAACTCCATCCCCTACGCCCAGTTCTTTGCAGTCCCTCAGCTTGGTGTGTTTGTCAGAAATTGAGCGGCAAAACCAGTGGCAGAAGGTAACCTCAGAAAGAGCGAGATTTTTCTTATGCAAACTGTAATTTCATAACCTATGTGAAAAAGCTGTTCTGTTGGGTTTTTACTAGTTTGTAAGATGACAGCCGTAGTAACAGCAGTATCTTGACAGTAAACTTGAGGAAGTTTACTCACAACAGTTGCTTTTAAATGAAGATACAAGCTTTTGCCCACATTTTCCCTTTGCTAATGATTGTGACATTATAGATAATTAGCGTTTTAATAAATTTAGAGTCTACTTATCAACATTTTGGTCTTATGTGACACCTTGATCACACATGATGCAGGCAGTTGACTTTTAAACAGGGAAGATATGAAAAGCAGGGCACAGAGCCGAGGCATGGGAAAGACAGTTCTAATTTGTACTCTGCCACACTGGACAGGTCAGCCTCTGCCCGCTTCTTGAGCCTTTTGTTGTGTTGCCATACTGCTGATGCTCAGAAAGTTAAATCGGGTTTGGGCAGCAGCTAATGCAGGGACCACGATTTCTCCTGGGCGCAACTGCTGTACTACTAAGTAAGAGCCAGTTACTAAAGCTGGAGAGTCCCAGTGAAGACATGCAGCATGGAATCTCAATAGAATTCACTAGGGTTTGGGGGTTTTGTTTGGTTTTCTGTTGGGTTTTGTTTTGGGTTTTTTTGCACTACACAATCACGTGATATTTTTTTTTTTCCCTAAACAAGACAATATCTTCAATTGTTCAGACCTCCAAGGTCGCACTGCATTTCCTCAGACCCTGCAACTATTTATCTCACTTTCCCAGCTATTTACCAGGGCTTTCCAGAAACTTTGGCAACATCACTAAATAACTAAACCATCCAGAAGAGACACATAAACTCAGATTTAAAGCTAAGTAGTTAAGTACTTTTTACTTCCCACCAAGCTCTAGAAAACTTCCTTCCACACCGTAAAACCAGACAACAGAGAACACGCAGTTAAGATAGTGGCCAACGCTGTTCTGTAGTATGATTCCCTAATGGTATCTTTAACTCAGAGCAACTGAATACACAGCAAGTTGAGAGGTGTACGGCAGGTTAAAGTCTATAAATACCTGTTCAGAGTGATGTTTAGAAGGAGAAAAGCATGTTCTGGGCTCTTGATTTCTACCCCTGAAGAGTCTTCTCTCCAGAGGATAGTCCTAGGCTCAGGGTCTTTTGTATTTATAAGCCGCCTTCTGGTATCCGAACTCCCCGGTAGTTTCCCGAGTTGCTTCCAAGCACGGTAGGTCTGGCGAGACAAGTAACCTCTAACAGCTCCCTGTGTACGAGTGGCCCTGCCGCTGTAATTCAAGTATCTTTTATACCTTCCTGTCTAGAGGTGACTTACCTGCTCCACCTGCCTTTCCCCATCACCACTGAATCACTCCGTTGGCTGCAGGCGCGCTCCCGCTCCAGCCGGTTTCTATGACAAACAGGGCAGGCTGGAATTCTCCTGATAAGGGGCAGCGCTGCCGAGGACACCCGCCTGTGTCTGCCCCCGGGAAGCAATGTGGGAAATGGTTATTTCTTCATCTTTCCCGGACTGGGGAAGGCTGCCTGCTTCCTGGTGAATTCTCACAGGTCTTTGACTAGCTTTGAGGGTTTTTTTTTAACTGCTCGTCATAAGTGGGTTCGGTTTGTGCAGGTGTACTGGCCATGTTTTCACAGGGCAGCAAATCTCCCGAAAGAAAATTTCAGGATACCTGAAAAAGGCTGTTATTGTTCTCTTGTTTCTTCGTGAAGGACAAGGAATTTGGAAGTGCCTTAGATTAACAGCAGAAGCAAGATTCTGACAGTCAAATTTCTTGTGATTTGGTGAGAAAAAAATTGTTGCAATAGAAAAATCCAGTATAAGTTTGAAAGCCTGCGAGCTGTTTATAAATGAGTTGAACCACTCTATACAGTCATATGTCTGCCTCAAGCTCCTATACAATCGTTCAAAATAATACTGTATGGATTGTCACAGAGAAGGAATTCTTTGCAACTTTTGGTAGTAATTGACACAGAGAAATATTATTTGACCTGCAAACTTTTTGTGGTTCAAAGGACAGCAATCCATGATCCGGAAAAAAGAACCAACAAATTTACACTCGTGCAAATGAGGAAACAAGTGTGTGTTTGTGTGTGGTGGAAGTAACAGACAAACATTCAACTTTTAGTCTAGTTCTTATTTGTTGCAAATACTACTTTTTTTTGTTCAATTTCTCAAAAAAAACCCCAACACAAGATGGTCTGTGGATTTTTTCAGGATGGTATCAGGAAGTGTCTTCCTAAAAAATGGTTGAGAAATTTCACTCTCAAAATGTATGGAAGCATATTCATCTCTTGGGACAGAGAAGTGTGTAAATCCCACAGACTTTAGTGGCAGTCAGATACAACTCGCTTTGGCTTCCACATGCCTCTACTTCAGGTCACACTGTTCAGTTCTAGTGAGCTGAAATCCAAAAGGAGGCTTTTAAGAATAAAAGAGAAGCATGCTGAAATTACCGACGTTTTAAATCAGTTTTAGGATTAAAACTAAGGTTACCTGATCCTTCCACAGCTGGAAAGATCTGGTCTAGAGCATTGTTCGTCCGGTGGATTTACGATGAGCTCCACAGGTGACTCTAGTAGACAAACACCTCAATGGAGAATGAAGGTTAAGACTAAACTGTCCCAGAGCAGCATGTCAATGGTATAGCTCCCTCAGTGGAGTGCGCGTGTGCCGTAGGAATGACAATCCATATGCTAGACTGAGCACGCAATACGAGGGCAGAGTACTCCCCCATCTATTTATGTCGCTGCTCAGGGATGAGTGAGGCTGGAAGCAAACACTGTCTACAGCTGACAAAGCAGGATGTTTGATGAATGGATGTAAATCAGATTTTTAAAAGTCTTGCTCACTTAGTCACTTGCATAAGCACTTGGGTAAATTGGGCCGAAAATTAACGACGCTTCAATAACAGACCGGGGTACGTTACGCTGGGTAACACACTGAGGTCTAGCTGAGACCCCCTCCTCTGGTAGTCAGTGGAGCAACACTGATTCACTTTTTGATCATGCTCTAAAGAAAGACATTTTAAGCCCTTTACCTACTGACAAGACCAGGATTGCTGAACTGC